AAAAAGATTTGAGAGCCCAAAAATTGAAAGCCTGTATTCTAGAGTCCTTAGCCTGTGCTATGATAATGATAATTTAGGTGATTTGGAAGTTTTCAATTCTGGAACTTGTATTTCTTTGGGGGTGAGCCTACACAGTTGACGATGGAGAACACCCTGTTGTCAATTAGAGATTCAAAATGCATACAGCATCAAGTCTTTGACTACGGGTAGATGCATATGACTCCCTGAAGCCTGTATTCTAGAGTCCTTAGCCTGTGCTATGATAATGATAATTTAGGTGATTTGGAAGTTTTCAATTCTGGAACTTGTATTTCTTTGGGGGTGAGCCTACACAGTTGACGATGGAGAACACCCTGTTGTCAATTAGAGATTCAAAATGCATACAGCATCAAGTCTTTGACTACGGGTAGATGCATATGACTCCCTGATGCTTTTATTCTATTTCTGTGAATATATATAAAGCATAACCTCTATAAAAACTAGCTGTCAGAAACATATGTGCTTTCTGGAAAGTATTGATTTAAAAAGAAAAACTGTTGCCACCTAAGGCATTTCAGACATTAGCATTTCGTTGGTGCATGAATAAACCTCCCCATCTTGCAAGTTGTCCTGCTTTTGCTGTTGGCCACATGGCACTGTTTCTGGAATCAGTAGCTAAGGAATCAGAATGAAATAGCAAGGGGGATGGGGGTGCTTGTCATGGTTATAGTGACAAAGGACATCAAATATTTAATGGATGGAAGCCAGAGTCTTAAACAAGCTACATTATACCTGAATGACATTATACCAGTTCTACATTATACCTGATTGGCTGGGTATCCACCTGGCTTGAAATTTATCTCTGCTTAAAATTAAATGGCAGAGTACGTTTTGTTATATAAAATATTGCTTATAAATTTTAATATTCACAGTGTTTAGCATACCTCCTCTTCACAGTTTCACTGTGCTACATATAAAAGGCTAAAAGAATTCTGATCTTAGACTCCTGACTTCTGATGTCTTTATGTTATGTAAGTATGATTATACAAATACTTTATAATATTTTTAGAATACTTACATAGTAATACAGAAATGCATTATACTTTCGCTTTCCTTTACTTCTCCTTTCCTTTCAATACAAGGCATATTTTAATATTTAATGCTGCGAAAATCTTGTATAGAAGGAAGTTATATTAACCATGCATTTACCTGAACCACTGAAATTGATATTGATAAGGAAAGCATTATTGTAGAGAATTGAAGCAAGGAAAAATTTGATCTCCACTTACTAGTACATACATAGTCATCCAAAGAAAACAGCATTGTGAGTGTATGTTGTTAATAAAGAATGTAATCTCAGTAAGGTCCATGTCCCTCTGCTTCTATGGAAGTCTTACGTGGGCTCTCTTTTGGAGAGTTGTATCAGTAAGACCACCTTTGTGCCTGTTGTTGCAGATGGTGTTTAATGATTTCTTCAGTCTGAACTACCTTCACAGCCCCCATCCAGGAGACTTGATTGAAGTGTTCCATCCTGGCTATCAACACTGGGCGCTGTACTTGGGTGATGGCTATGTTATCAACATAGCACCTATAGGTCGGATTTGTTTCCAGCAGCTCCTGGGACCTTTTTAGGTTTTTTTGCAGTTAGAAGGAATCATGAACAGAAATCATAAAAACAGATTAAGATGTAGGCAAAAATCTAACTAATCCAGGTTTCAGAAAGGACATTTTGAGACCAAAGTGTCATTAAAAAGATTTCACAATAGTTTAGAAAACTGACTTTCCTTCCCTCAGCAGCTCTTCAACCAGAGAGAGGACCTATGAGCCCTTACCCCATCTGTGCTGGAATGTTGACTTGGTGTAATCTTTTGCAGGTCTTGTGCAGGCAACCACACAGCTGCGAGGTCATAAATGCAATATTTTTGTCATGTCCATACGTCACTACACATTCTTAACAAATGAAAAATGTATTATTTGCTTTTACAGTCCTTAAAATTTTATGTTATGGAAACAAAGATTTATTTTGACTCACATTTCTAGGGGATTTCAGTCTATTGTAGTGGGGAAGAAAGCATCTCCAACTGTACCAGCAGGAAGCATGAGACAGCAGTTGTCTGCACTGTGCCAGACCAGGAGGCACAGACTAGCCAAAACTAGAGTCCAGATAATCTCCTTCAAAGGCATGCCCCAGTGACCTACTTAAACGGGCCAGACCCACTTCCTAAATTTTCCATAAACTTGGAAGATGTAGCCACCTTCTGGAAAACATGCACTCACAACATGGGAGGAGATTGGCATTTCAGATTCAAACCATAATGAAAAATATCTCGGGTTGGTAAATAAGCACTCCCTGTTTGAGGGGGTAAAACCAAAGTCCAAATCAAACCATATTTTCTGATTAAACAAAATGAATTCTAATGTCTGCTAAACATGGTAGAGCACACCTTCAGTCACAGCACTCGGTGGGCAGAGGCAGGGGGATCTCTGTGAGTTCAAGGCCAGCTAGAGCCATGTACTGAGACCTTGCCTCAAAAAAAAATTTTTAATGAATTCCAAAACCTAAATGCAAACATAGGTCTTTAAGAAATTGGATATTTCATCAGGCATAATGGTGCACACCTATAATCCTGACACTCTGGAGGCTGAGACAGAAAGACTGCAAGTTCTTGGTCAGTCTGGCCTATATCATGAGACCCTGTCTTTTTTTATAATTTTTATTTATCATTTTTTATGTGTATGTGTGTATTGCCTCCATGTAGGTTAGTGCACCCATGTCATGCAATGCCCTCAGAGGTCAGAAGAGGCTGTCGGATCCCCTGGGACTGGAGTTTCGTACAGTTGTTAGCTGCCATGTGGGTGCTGGGATTCTAACCTGGGTCTTCTGAAAGAACAACCAGTGTTCTTAACCACTGAGCCATCTCTCCAGCCCAAGACCCTGTCTTAAAAACAAAGAAAAATAGCTGTTTCTTGGGAGAAAGACATTTTTTTCCAAGTACCTGTAAAATTTTCAGCATATCTTTGTTTCCATTGATTGTAAGACAACTAACATCTTGTGATTTGGATCCAGAGTGGAGCTGATTGAAGCAAGCACTGTCGGTGTACTGCAGTAAAGCCTCCCTTCTGGTGGTGTCTCAGCTTTCCCAGAGGAAGCCAAGGAAAAAGGACTGCTCAGCTTGGCACATACAGACAAGTGTAGCTCTCAACACTCATCAAAGAAGCATCTTTTTAGCAACAACCAGAGACTATTACAAAGTCCACAACCAGTCAAAGTGCAGAGAATAAGTGACTGTGGGCTTCATAGTCCTAACTGATGTATCTACAATGCAACCTCTATACCTAAGCTCATCATGGAAGTGAGAGAAGAAAGATTGTATGAGCCAGAGAGACAAGATGCTTGCTGCCTGTTAATGCATCCTAGACATGATAGGGGAAGCCTCACCCATGTAATCTCCAGCAGTTGACATGCTAATGTGGATGGGGGAAATTTCATGGGGTCCCACTTCAAGATGAAGAGTTATAGGCAATAAATGGATGCTGAGGGAGGGAGAGTCCGTTTTCTTCAGGGACTAGCTCCCTGAAAGGTTATCTAATCCCAAGTGGGTAACCCTAAACACAAGTACACATAAGCACCACTAAATGGATTCAGTAAGTTATAAATATATATGTGTGTATGCAAAAAAAAAGATTTCACAGACAAAATAATATTAATATTAAAAACCTTTCAATTAAAAAATCCTAATTATGTATTAATGGCCACCTAAGGAAGACATCGCCACAAACGTGACTAGATTTGACGTCCTTATACATCACACAAACATGATTTTAATTCATTCAGCACCTATTGTAGGCTATATAGTGTGTGCTGAATGCTATTCTAAGCATTGGGAATACATGGAAATCTTCTAGAACAATAGAACTTATGTCTTCATAGTGAGGGGAGTAGAAAAAGAACTATGAAGCAAATGTTATGACAGAGGAGATGGGAAAATAAATTAAGGAGGTGGTTTATGAAGTGCTGAACACAGGGAGGTGGGGAGTGGGAGCACTGAAATCGTAAAAGAAGTGCTCATGAAAGCTCAGCAAAGAAGTAGCTTTTGAAGAAAACCTTGAGATGAGAAAACCAGGTACATGGTGTATTAGTTACTTTTCTGTTGCTGTGAGAAGATAGCATGACTAAGGCAACTTAGAGAAAGAGGAGTTCATTTGAGTTTGGGGTTCCAGGGGTAAGGGCCCATAATGGTGAGGGAGGCATGGCAGAAGGAGGCGTCTGCAGCAGAAAGCAGAGAGGTCACAACTTCAAGCAGGCACAGGGAACAGAGTGCCACTGGAAATCCAGCAAGGCTTAGGAACTCTCAAAGCCCAATCCCAGTGACATGCTTTCTCCAGCATGACCACACTTCCCAGTGCCTCCCAAAACAGTGCCACCAACTAGGGACAAAATCGCCAAATACTTGTAGCCTATGGGGGACATCCTCATTCAAACCACCACACACAGTATCTGAGAAAATGGTATGTCAGTCTGAGGGGACAGCAGACACTAAAATTACAACCTACAGTTTATAAAAGAAAAAGAGAAGAAGATAGCACACTTCACAAGTTTTGACTTTGGGTCATTTACAAGCTGTAGAATAAAACAAGGACAGATTTCACGCCTGTCTCATCAGCAAAGGATAAAATGATAACGGTCAGTGATGGATATGGTGAGATGAACACAATATCAGTGATGGAAATAGAAATTGATCATGCCATTCAAAAAACAGTGTTACAGCATGTGTTAAGAGTCTTCAAAGATTTCCTATACTCTGACTCTAATTTTGCTGCTAGGAGTCTAGGGAAACATTTAGAGAGATGTGGATAAATTTCATTTCTAGGGATTTAAAAAGGAGGCAGTGGCTTCATTCTCCACAGAAGGATGGTTAAACAAGTTATGGTTTAGCCATGGGATATTAAGTAAATCCATCAGAATTCTTTCATTGTATATAACTGAAATAAAGCTAGAATTAGCTTAAGCAAGCAAGCAAAAGGACAAATTCATTGTGTCCTGGGGGCAGGGTGGGGGACTTCAGAAAGGGTAGAGCTGGTTCTGGCTTCAGGAATCTTTCGTCTGGGAATGTTAGCACTTCAGGGCTTTCAGACTCAAAAGCCCCTTCTCTTTTCTACCTGCTGGTCTTCATCCCCCACCTTTGTCTTTGTAAGGAGCTGAGGACAGTCAGCAACCCGAGTCTCTTGATCTTGGAGCCTTATGACTCAAGAAGAAAGAGTTAATCTGTTTCCTGTCTATTGTAGTTCAGAAATCGTGGAGAAGGATCATTGTGAACCACACACCATTTCTGGAGAAGAGATGTAATACAGTGATTGGCTCACACAGGCATTTGAGGGAAGAGACAGGCAATGATGGAATAGGGTGTTAAATAGGTAAAAACAATAGTCACTACAACAGCTATTAAAAGACATGGTTTTGGACATGTTTTAGACTATATGGGAGATGGTCTTCATATAATATTTATTTTAAATTTTCTGATTAAGGTACAATGTGTAATATGATGCCCCAATTACAAACATAATATGTATAAATACACACAATACCTGTACTTATACACATGTGTTAATGAAAGTCATAATGAACATATATTAGAGTAATAGTGGTGGTTATTTCTGGATGATAAAATAATGACTGATGTCTATTAACATAAGATTAAGCTTTACTTTTTGTTTTTTCTAATATTTAAAAATAAGCATACATTAATTTATTAAGAAAATATGTAGATAACAAATAACCTGGAATATATCCTCAAGATACATTTAAAGCATTTGGGATACATTTAAAGTATATTGATTTGCTAGACATAAGGACACATACCTATAATTCCAACAATTGGGAGAGGCAGGAGTCTGACAAGTGTGAGGCCAGCCTGGGCTACATAGTGAGTTCAAGGTCAGTCTGCATTACATAGCAAGACCATGTCTCAGAAAAACAAGTGCTGAAGATGTAGTTCAGTGATAGAATGCCTGCCTTGTACAATGCCTTTTCAAACTCCAGCACTACAAAGTGTCTACAGGCCTAAGTCTTACTATCTTGGGAAGTCCTGACAATTTTAAGTGAAGTATTTTTTAAAATATTATAAATGTAAATGACATTTACAGTTCACAATTATTTATTTCCAAGCCTGGGACTACCATTAAGTGCCCTTCTACAATTGTATTTCAAGTTTTCACATCTAGAAAATAATGAGATTTTGGTGCTATTTTCTTATTTTCCACTGTTTCTATCTTAAACTCTACTTGGCTGTGGTTCAAGCACTGGACTTTGAGTATGTAGGCTGAAATTGAATTCCTGATCTTTTGTTAACCATCATGGTATTTTCCACGCCAGTTGACTTCTGCAAAGCTCAGTTTCCTAATTTTTGTACTGTGCTAGTAAACAACAAAACTTTAGAGATTATAAGTAAGATATGTGTGCTGACAACATACAAGAGCTTTTGGTGTCTGAAACATTAACTGGGAAATGTTGCTCTGTTGAGGATAAGGGAGATGGATGGAGAAGCAAGTTTGATTTTAGTCATAACTAAAAGGGAAAATTGATAAATATTGGTTATATAAAGTCCCTTCCTCTCAGGATTTACATGAATACGATGGCTAAGCTTAGCAGCTGTGGGCATGGAGAGACTGGGTCTTGACACTAGGACTGTGCCTTGAAGAACCATCTCTGTTTCAGATATTGACATGGCAGGCCCAGATACAAGCATGGCAGCCTAGGCAAATGCTTAACAATATTGGTATCATATTCAGGTAAATGGGCAAGCATAGACTGTCATCCAGTCAGGTAGGATAGCATGGGCCCCACACGTGTGTAGTACCTGGTAAGGTTAGCTTCATGTATAGGATGTTAGTTTGCTGCCAAAGGAAATAGCCACAGAAAAGCAGGAACTTAGCAGATCCCTCACAGGACTGAGGTACCATGAAAGTTTTACAGCAGGAAATTGGAACCCATACAGAAATATAGAGAAGAGAAAATTTGTGAAGAAATGGTCCAGGTGAGTTGTGTAGTTAAGTGGTTAAGATGATCATAGAATAATAACACACTACTGCTAATCTCTAAAATATTAGTTTGAAATAGTTAAGATGCTGAGAATGAACCTACTTAGCAGAAAAAAAAGTGGCCAATACTCTTATCTACATGTTGCTAGAAAAGTATACCAAGATCTCCAACAATAATACCAATTGTAGAGAATTTACTCTCAAAGAACAGGCAGAGTTTCACACAACTAGTATTCTCACATAGTATTGTCATTGATAACAGAATGAATGAAAAGAATTAGTGCTTCTGGTTTGATTGTGCATAAGGGGCAGAAGTCTAAGTTCCCCAGCATCTCTAGTGCTTCTAGATGGCACTGGTGTTCTGTGGACTGGATCACTAAGCCTTGCTAACCAGTATTTTCCTTACAGATGACGTTCCTTCATCATTTACAAGCGCCAAGTCTTTGTTCAGCACAAAGGCTTTGGTGAAGATGCAGCTCTTGAAGGATGTTGTGGGAAATGACACATACAGAATAAATAATAAATACAATAAAGCATACCCTCCTCTCCCTGTGGAGGAAGTTATTCAGTGGTCAGAGTTCGTTACTGGACAGGAGGTAGCTTATGATTTACTGTTCAACAACTGTGAGCATTTTGTGACTTTGCTTCACTGTGGAGAAAGAGTGTCAGACCAGGCGAGTTTTCTTTAGGAGACATGAAAAGTTTCTTACTTTAGGAAATTACTATTTGCTATGATTAAGTTCCTAGGCTTCAAACAAAATGTAAAGAATTGGGAAACACTGAAGAGCATAGAAGGAAATTGAATTTTCTAATGTCATACAGTAAAGGAATGACCAGAGATTAAAACACATATCTATTAGTCGGGGTTCTCTAAAGAAACATAACTAAATGAACTAAATGAATGTGTGTGTGTGTGTGTGTGTGTGTGTGTGTGTGTGTGCACGTGTGTGTGTGTGTGTGTGTGTGTGTGTGTGTGTATGAATTATTAGATTAGCTTACAGGGTAGATTTCGAGTTGTCCAACAATGGCTGCACCACACTAGAGAGGCTGAGAATCCAGTAGTTTCTCAGTCCACGAGGTTGGATGTCTCAGTAGTCCCAACCTGATGAATTTCTGGGGATTAATCTACATTGGAATTCGAAGTAGTTGGTCACAGAAACAAGACAAATTCACCAGTGAGAGAGAAGGCAAGCAGCAAAAAGCAAAAAGCTCCCTTCTGCCATGGCCTTTTATATGGCTGTCATCAGAAGGTAATGCTCACATTTAGGGTGGGTCTTCCAGCTTCAAATGATCCAATCAAAAAGATCTCTTTCATTTCAGTTAATCCCAGATCCAGTCAAGTTGACACCCAGGATTAGCCATCACAACGTACATCTTGAGTTTGGGACTAGAGGGACTTGAAGTAGAACCAAGGCCAAGGCGGTAGCATTCTGCCAGTCTTACTGACTTCTCCTGTCCACATTTTCTCCATTACTTCACCATACAGAAAACTCAAATCAACAACCTCATGTTTTGAAAATAATCTCCTGAAATGGATAATGAACAAGAGTTAATTCTGAGATTCTTTGTCAATGGGGAATAGACAATGTCATGTCCAATAACAATGACATGTCTTGTTTGTAAATTTTTTTTTTCTGTTTCCTTGCAATGCTAGTTTTCAATTAAATGTTGTGATTTTAAGTACATATTTGATTCACTGAGCTGTTAGATGCTACTTCAGAGTAGCAGTCTTATGATTTTCCACCATCTCTCTTTAGCATTATAGCAGAATTCCAACTAACTGCATATTTACCAATCTTGCCTTTACCAGACTTGTCCCCACACCAGTGCAATTCCATTGTTGAGGTCTTAATGCAGGAATTCTAAGGTAATGTAAGGGTATATGTATATAAAACCATTAGAGGAGGAAATCCTCTTCATCTAAAATATATATGAAAGTGTTAATTTTAAAAATAAAAAACTAAAAACAATTCCATAGCTATTAATCTCCAGGAATTTGTTTCCTATAAATCTTGGAAAAAGACTAAGACTGGAAAAATAATACCATAAAAGTTTAACAGCATTTTAATAAGCCAGACTTATTCAAGGCTTCTTGTATCTTGAAATGATGGATTAATTATATAAACATCTAAGAAATGAGGTTCACTTCTCACAAAACTTGAAAAAAGTGGGAGATGTAATGTAATAGAATGATACATTTATTTTCATTAAGAAATAATTTAGTTGGAAATTTGTTTCCATTAGAAAAATACATTAACATAGTGAATGTTCTATTTTCAGATAATAAATCTTTGAGCCAGAACTCGGAGGCCACCTCTTTGCCTTTGCATTGAAAACTAATGGTGTTTTGGAGAAATGGGTTCCTCCTATTTCTTTGATAATGATTAAGTTGTTCACTGCGTTTAGCAAATAATATTTAATTTCTGCAAAAGGGGAGGCAATGATCAATGAATCCAAATTTCAGTTATAGGTCTACTTTTAACAATTTGTCACTTTGTAGCTCTCCTTTTAACATGATTGACAATACTCTGGTTCTTTTAAATGATTAATTAATTTTTTCCAAGAGGGTAGCTCTTAGGGTTAAATGTTCTTGTTAGAAAAGGAAAATTAGAAAGCAAAAAAAAAGCAAACTAACTAATAATTCCAGCAACAAAATCAACAAAGATGGTCACTGGAAACTTTGGGAGATGATGCTAAGTATGTGGCTTTGATTATGATGATGTTTAGTGTTTTGTTGGTGCAAGCTTACCTCCAAATACATCTAGTTGCATATATTAAATGTCTATAATGTGGCTAAATAAAGAAAAAGGATTAAAATCATATTCTTTCTTTGAATTTAAGTTTAAATTCACCATCTTTTCACTTTTCATATCAAGACTCAAAACATGTGGGGAAAAAAAAAAGATTTCCTCAATAGCAGAACTTGTCTCCAGCCCCTCCTGGAGGCAACACGTTTAAGAACCTCATTGGCTGGCACTGTGCCAGCCTGAGCCAGAACCCCATCTTCATCCTTTACTGGCTGATTGACCTTGTGTGCACTACTTCTATGTTTACTGTCCTCTGGAGCTTTCTTGAAAAAAAAAAGATTATATACTGGCTGATTGACCTTGTGTGCACTACTTCTATGTTTACTGTCCTCTGGGGCTTTCTTGAAAAAAAAAGATTATAGAGACAGTTGAAGTCTCTTACACCTAGCTGTATAATATATTATTAATAAACATCATGTTATGCTTTAAATATGAAGTGTCCCAACAAAGGCTCATGTGGCCTGATCTATGATTGGTGGCTATCATTGTAGAGAAATAACTGGATCATGGGGTCTTTTACCTAATCACAGGATCCATCTACTGATAAATTCATAATGTGATGGCATTTGGAGGAGGTGGTGGGAACTAAGTGGAGCCTAGCTGCAGAGAGCACATAGGGGTTGCTTTTGAAGTAGACACCTTGTCCCTAGTCCCTTCTTCCAAGTCTTTCTGATTCCTGTCTGTCATAAGGTAAGCAGCTTTGCTAGGGCACAACCTAAACCTTCAGCTTTAGGGGCCTCCAAATTAGAAATGGTTTCTAGGGAAATGACTCTTTCTTAAAATTTCTTAAATGCATAAAAATGATTAAAAGGAGCAGGCTTGTGATCCTGTTTTGCTTTCTTCTCTGCTTTTCTATAGTTTTACAATATTAACAAGCATATTTTAGAACAGGTTTTAGAATTACAACAAATATGACCAATCTGTACAGCAATTCCTCTGCTCCTTATGCATATACAGCTGGCCTCCTCCATCAACATCCAGTGTGATACATTTCTAAGAACTGGTGAGCCAACTTCAAATAAACCATTATCAACCAAAAGAAGTCCATCCTTCATATCAGGATTTATTCTTTCAAGTTGTGCATTGTATGAATGTAGACAAAATTTTAAAGACATATGCATCATTATAGTATCAATAGCTTACTTGCACCAAACTTCTATGCTCTGCCTAGTCAATCCACCTTCACCCCAGACGTGGGCAACCTTACTAATTTAGTTTTAATTGTCTGCATGTTTTGTTTTTGCTGAATGTTTCATAGTTGGAATCAGATCATATGTAGCCCTTTGGTGTCCATTTTTGCATTCCCACCAGCAATAAATGACAGTTTCTCTTGTTCTGAATCCTTGTCAGCATTTGATGACATCAGTATTTTTCAATTAAGCTATTCTCATAAGCTTGTAAGTGGTATCTATGTCATTGTTGTTTTAGTTTATAATTACTCAATTATGCATGGTAGTGAACATTTTTCACATGCTTATTTTCCATGTCCATCTTTGTGATACATTGCTTCATGTGTTGCAAATGACTGTGTCCTCATTTGGGTTGTTCATTTTTTTGTTGACTTTTAAGAGTTCTCAGTATACTTTGGATAAGATTTCTTTTTCAAATTTCATCAGTAAATGTTTTATCTCAGCTGGTGGCTTATCTTTTCTATAGTTTTTAAATTTTCTATAAAACAATATTTATAACTATTATAGTCCAAGCAAGTTATAAAAATGTCTCCATCTCTGGATAAGACAACCGTGCCTTTTAATAGGCCTAGACAAGCCAGTATGTAAACACAGCCTGCCTGTTCTTCAGTGCATCGTTGTGGCCTTCACGTCTCAGAAACAAGAGATTCGGTAAACTCTGCAAGTCATATACGACCTTCTGCATTGATGCCTGTACACAGCCACTCCAGATTCAGCTTGTGGTTCACTCATTCCCTAGAATGAGACCTTTAATGTGGCCCTCAGTCAGAAACATGTGAAAGGTAAATGTACAGAGTCAGAATGATGACTTTATAATCCTGGATAAACCAGGAAGTAAAAACACTGTGAGATGTTACAGTCCTGTAGATTGGATCCCATCATGTATAACTCCAAGGGATGTTCCAGCTACATGAGATTTTGTTCTCTAGAATGAAACTTGAAGTAATGAACATTTAGGATTTGGGAAACTGCATGCAATACTGAAAGTGGATTTATTTTAAAGATATCTGCTTTGGGATCAAGTTGCATATCTCTAAACCTCTCGTATTTATGAGATTTCTCTAACACTTAATGTTTCTAGAGACTGAACGATAGTTAGTTAGGCTTGCATCTAGATGGGGACACCCTATCCACAGGATCCTGCCAGTTCCCCAGAGCTTGGATCCATTTGACACTTGTATTAAAGACACCTATTGCACTTGGTTGTTTTTCTTTTCCTGCCCCATTTCCCTGGGTCAGACCTTCTGCCAATATGAGGACTGGGCTTGGTTAACAGACCTTGACTTTTGACCTGGCTAATTATCAAATAGACCTCCTCTTTGGAATTGTGTCTGGATGGAGCAATTCCCTATCTCTTTTTCCTGATGTGCTATGTGGTTAGCTCTCAGTATGTTCTTCTGGAGAATTACCCAGGGAATGACTATTTTATAATTATAAATACAATAGATATAAAATGGCCAAATGAATACCAATAAAATTACAAATGAAAGTAGGATTTGTCAGGGTAAGGCTAAGTTTTCTGGCAGTATCATCCTCCAGCAGTTGGAGATTGGAGCAGAAGCACTGTTCTAGTTTCTTTCATTCTGTTGCTGTGACAAATACCATGACCAAAAGCAGCATAGGAGAGAAAAGGGTTAATATCAGCTGACAGGTTACAGTCCATCACTGAGGAAAGTCAGGGCAGACACTCAAACAGGAACTTGGAGACAGGTTTTCTTGCAATTCCATATGGCAGTATCTCCGACCAAGGAACTTACTTCACAACCAAAGACATGCAGCAAGAACATACTGCTTGCAAGCTGGCTCGCAGGCTGGCTTGTAATCAGCTGGCTTTCTTATACAGCCCAGGATTACCTGCCTAAGGAATGGTGTTACCCATAGTGAGCTTGGCCTTCTTCTATCAAATGACAATCAAGACAACCCCACCCCCAGACATGCCAGAGGCCAGTCTGATATGGGAATTTCCACTATTGAGACTCTTCTCAGGTGACTCTAGGCTTTGTTAAGTTGACAGTTAAAGCTAGCTAAAACCGGCCAGAAATCACAGCTGCAGGTCTTGTCTCTGTGTACTACGGGCTATCATAAAGAAATGAACACATGCTGCAAGGCATGCAGCAAATATTCTATGTGCCTCTTTCCTGAACCCCCCCCCCCCACCGTCTATTTCCAAGAGGGAAGCAACAGTGAAGGAAACACTGTGCTTCAAGAATATGTAGGAGGTGGGCCCCATGGTACAAGTCCGTGGGTTGGATAGAGGGAATTCTCAACTGTCACATTTCCAGCTGTGAGACCAGTCCCCAGGCATTTGAGAAAAATATTTGACTTTGTTTTAAAGCCCGACTCTTGAATCCCAGAATCTAAGTGTCTTCTGGATCTGTGATGATTCCAAGGTGTCTAAATGTGACCTTTCTTTCATAAATGCACTGAAATCCATGAGGATGGAAGGCAAATATTAGTTGAGTGCCATGAAAACCATGAATAGTCATTAGTTCCCTTCATCACAATGATAATTAATACCCATAAAGTTGTAATGTCTGAACTCTTTTACAGACAATTGAGCTTGGGAATGGTTCATTTTGCCTATATGAAAACTAGACATGATATTGGCTAGTATTGACTTTTCTTGAACTGTGCTTATCAGAACACCATTTGTATTAACAAAGAAGGAGCTTACAGTATTTAGTTCAGTTTACACCCCTGGACTGTTTGAATAATAGACATCCTTCAGTTAGAGACATGTACACACACATGCAGGCACCCACCTAACCCTGATATAGATCCAACCAAACCTGTGTTCATCATGAATTTCCACTGCCAGGTGCTTTGAAAGTGTCAGAAATTTAATCTTTGGTTATACTTTCCTTTTGGGTGTTTAAGGCCACACAGTTGGCCCAGATAAACCAATTTATTTTTACTCTTAAGGTCATTTGAGGATCTGTTCCTCAAGGGGCACATGGGCTTGGAAGGATCCCATGGCTCCTTTCTTTTACCAGTTCCATCTATGTGAAGATAAGTCAAAGGTCCTGCTTGACCATGGCTGGCTTCACTTGGAAGCATGGAGGAAACGATTCCTCTGTGTCAACTCTCCTCTTTGTAGACTGGACACTGATTCAGGTCCATCCGGTGGGGTCTCCTCAGCCTCCTTGATCAAGAGGACAGGTGACCCACCACAATTAGAGGACATTTTGAGAGATGCTCATAGTCCTCTGGAACTAGTCGACCTAGGAGGGCAAGGAGCAAAAAGTGTCCT